ATAGCCGCCTTCTAGAACAAACTCTTTAAGGACGTTTATACAACTTTTCAACTGTGCTCTATCTTTGCCCTCCAGCTGTTTGAGGACCCCTGACTGTGATTTCCAGTCTGAGCTCCGTCTCCCCCACCTCCCCACAGCCATCAGAACATGGAATCCCTAATCTCCTCGTGTCTTGATGTTTTCTTGTTCAAGGAAAGCATTTTATTACAGAAAAGGCCACCATACATGGTGTTTGTTGTTGTTGTTGTTATTACCAGAAAGACATTGCCGGAAACCTCTAGTGGAGGATGGTATCCAGTCCTTCATCTTCAGGGGAGGATGCTGAGAGCCAGCGGGGCAGTCAGGGCCCCTGGGTGAGCGAGGATGGAAGTCAGGCAGGAAGCTCCTCTCAGCTCTTTGGCTCACCCAGGGTTGTCACATTATCTGGCAACGACCTGAACTTCTTAGCCAGGTCCCAGGGGGAAAAGACTAGGGGAGTTTTTCAAAACTCTGTATAGCTACCATAATGAACTGAGTCCCTGCAGGTGACTTAAACAGCAGGCTTGCTAACAACCCTCAGAGACTTCCAGACAGGGCATGTCCTTAGACAGAAAATCAGCTCACTCTGCCTAGCCTGCCACAGGCCCAGCTCAGTCACACAGCAGGCCCGGGAGTGTCTTTCAGTCTGTTCAACCTCACAGGATAGGAGTGGACAGCTCATTCTAACCCAGAAAAAGAGAAAGTTCAAAATTGAAAATTTAATTTCTACCCAGCTTATTACTTTTTCCTCCATCATAAAGTTACAACAACAAAACCAAAACCCAAAACAAAACAAAACAAAAAAACCAAAAACCAGTCAAACCCTCAACAGGGAGGAGCCCTCTGTGTTTCTCCACAGTCCTGAGACTGGAGGTGGAAGGCTAAGGTGTAGGCACGATTGGTTTCTTCGAGATGTCCTCCTCTTGTGTTTTCCTCTCTCATCCTCTGGTGTATCTGTGCCTCCAAATTCTCTCATAAAGAGGCCAAGCTGTGACTCAGAGCCTACCCTAGTGGCAACCTAACTGAATCACCTTGCAGAGGAATTTTTAGGCTCATAATCTAAGGGACTGGGAATCAGATCCTGAATGTAGGGACCTGAGGGAATAGAACTCAACCTGCAATAGCCTACCCTCTGCTCCTCCATTACGGCTTTCCTGCCTACAAAATACACTTACCTCTCTCAATAACCCTTGAAGTCTAAACCTATTCCAGTTCGACTCCAAGTCTGAAGTCTAGTTCAAACATCAAAAAACACCGAAATCAGAGGTGGCTGGGATTGACTTTGAAATACCAGGCTTCTTCCGCTGCCGTTTGGGAAATCCGACATGAGAGGGGCTTATCAAAGACAGCAGTGACAGGGACAGGCCAATCAGTCCACAGTCACCAGGTAGAGTGTACAGAAGAAACAGGTCACAGACTCCCAGAGACACCCAGATCCCAGTAGGGAGAGCTCTACTACCTTCTTTCTTCATAGATCACCTGGGTCACACGGAGACACTAGTGTGATGGTGTCTGGCCATTCTCCAGCATCCTCCGCACAGGTGGGTACCACCCTCTGTGACCTTGATACCCATTTATCAGTCCACTGGCTTAATTCTCATCATGTCCCTAAGCATGACTGTTGTCTTCACTCAGAAGGAGGACGACAGGAAGACACAAGAGCAGTCAAGCTCCTGGACCAGGGACACAGGACTTGGTAAAGGTGTGCCCCCAAGGCTCTTGACCATCCTACAACTTTACCACCCCAGATGAGGGCTTTGATGTCTAGAGCTCACACCTCTGACCTGGGGTGCCAGGATGTTTGTTTCCCAACCCTTAGAAGGACTTAGATGGCAGATACATAAGTCTTTCCTTGTCCCTGCTGCTAGGACCATGGCCGGCACAGGGCACACACAATGCACCTCTGCTATTGAGGGGTGCATGGGGAAGACTGCGAGCTACTCCCTAAAGACAAACCAATCAAAATTGCAATCTCTCTAGAGACCCCCAATGGGCAGACTCCTTCAGCCCCTGCTCTGCATCACAGAGCCTGTGGAAACTACTGTCTGTCTTAAATAATCCTTCTTTGTTTTGTATTGCAGGAAGTGTCTCAATGGAGCTGGTGATTAAGGTTCCCCTGAGCGGACTTCTTAAAAAGGAGCACAGGCCTTGAAAAGCTCAGTGTGCCCTTTATGGAATGTCCGGTGCTCCACCGCCATGCTGATTCTCAGTCCTAAAATAAGTGATTTCCCTCACACAATCATGAATGCCCATTTTCTTGGAGTGCCTACTAATCTCCTTTGCACATGTTGGCATGCTGTGGCTGCAAGACCCCAGGTTCTAATCATGGAAATTCCAGGTTTGTTTGTTTTTTCAAACTTCTCCTGCTGGGTTCAAGAAGTAGAAGTGGAAATCAGTCTACAGAGATGTGGCCTCCCCACCTAGTAAATCTAGCCATTTCTTTGCTTGCTACAGCATTCGGGTATGTGTGTGTAACACAGAGCAAGGCCAAGCTTGCACCCATACCCGGAACATGTGCACCTCACGCTTCCCTCAGCACTCGGGTCAGGAAGCGAGTCTCTGCTTTGCATTCTGAAGGCCCAGGCCTGTCCGTTTCTCAGGACATCATGTGTCTTGACACCTGCCAGGTTCAATGTGAATGGATTACTTTATATAAAGGCTGTAGGCTTTTAAAAAGTGAGATACGTAGCACTCCCTTCCTGTGGATAAGCAAGCCTGACACTGCCTATAACTTGTTTTATGATTCTCTGAATAGGAACCTATTGACAGAATATTCAATAAATGGAAATCTTATGACCGCTTTCACTTACCTCAGGTCCTGGAGCAAACAGGAAGTATCGATCACCCTGTTACTGCTCTTGTTTCTGCGAGGCCACATGGAAAACGGAGACACTGATTTTCAGCTGTATTTGCTAATAGATTGTGGCAGAATTTATGTCCAACGAGTCGCCAGTAAGAGCTTGTGAGTGGCAAGATCACCTCTGTCAATTCGCTCCTTCTCACCGCTGTAAAAGCCTTGTGCCAGCGAATGACCAGAGGGTTTTAAAACACTCATTAGCCATAAGTCATTGCACAGAGTGTCCCTAAATGGGATTAGACCATCGTTACAGCCTGCTGACAATGACTGCCCCTTCTCTGCCTACCTAGGTGCAAATTCAAGCGAAAGCTACATCTCCACAGCTAGGGAGAGGTGGGTGTTCTTTGAGCCACCTCCCACGTTCCAGGTCTGATGTGTTATGCAAAGCCCCTTTGTGTGGGATGTTGGCTTTGTCTCTTTGTCAGAAGGTTTGCCTGGGAAGCAGAAGTCAGTGAGGAGGTGATGATTTTGTAGGTCACTCTGTGAGCCCTAGATACGAGGAGGCCAGACACAATGCACTGGGTGTCTTTGAGGTGCAAACTTCCAAGTCTGGTCTAAATGTGGAGGCGGGGGCGGGGGAGTTGAGTGGATAGCACACAGTCTCTCTGAAGGCAATGCTAGTGTTGGCTCTCTCTATCTCTATCTTTGGCCTTTCTCCTGGTTCCCCATCCATTCTCTTCCTGCACACAAGTGTCTCTGAGGAATGTTTTATGCTCCAAGCTGAGAGTCAGGCAGGGGACACTAGAATGGGTCAGACTTTATGCGGGTCTGGAGACTTTGCTCCTGTGGGAGTCTGGACTGTCCTCATCTTACAAAGATCTGTGAGCAGACCAGCACGGTTTGTGGGCAGGGGGTGGCGCATGGCCAGTGGCTGCAAACTCAAGAGGGAGCGCTAAGAAAGACCTGGGGTATCCTGGAGGAGCCTGGGGAAAATAAAGTGGAGGGTGAGTTGTCACATAAGACAGTCAGTAGCCGAACAACGCACTATGGGGTGCCCTATGTCCCGGGGCTCACAAAGTGACTCCTTTATGAGGCATCTGGGAGATGCCACACTATTGAAAAGGTTGATGGTCAGCAACTGAAAAAAGTGGGACCGGCAAGAATCCTGGAGAGGGTGCTGCACACGGGTAATAGGAGAGAAACAGCGGCATCCATCCTTGACATGAACACTGGGCCCTGAACAGTGCAATAGTGTATGCATGTCCAATGTATGTCCAGTGCACTGGGCATCATATGTGACACAGAGATGACTGGATGTCCCTGGACCCCTACAACTCAAATGAAAACATTGTACCATTCCCCATGAGCACCTGCTGGGTGCCTGGAACCAACCCTAGGGACAGTGAGGATGAGGAACTGCCTTTCTGGTGAGAGCTGGTTTTTATTATGTGCTCTATGGGCATGAACACACACACACACACACACACACACACACACACACACACACACAATCATTATCTTCTTTTTCCAGTGTATGATGTATTCATAACAATTCACTTTTATAAGTATTTTGGGTACAAAATGTCTTTTAAAATCATCTACCCATGTAATTTCAGGCACACGATTTATCCTTACTACTAAACATTTTTTTTCCTTAAAATGTCAGCATTTATTGAACTTCCCTGGGTGGCTTCAAGCCACCAGGACACAGGTACCTCCAACACCCCTTCCTCTTCTCTTCAGCTCTTCTGCAGAAGAATTTGGCCTTCGTGATGACAGGCTCCAGTCCTGATGTTTGCAGCGGAGACCCCTGTCTGCTCACTGACCAGTGCACAGTTTATCCAGGCTGGCAGTTGGGCAGGAGCTCTGGTTCCTCGTTAAGTGGTATGCAGACCGCTCTCCCAGAGTCAGTTGGGGAACTGGGAAGGGAAAGCAGCCATTTTTAGAGCCTCCCTCCATGCAAGTGGATCTCTGTGGTTGCCTATTCCTAGTCCGGGGTGAATGTCCACCCTTGGAAACTGACAGAGCAGACACTTGATACAAAATTTTAACTGAATCTGAAGTCCCTTAAGAAGTCAGGCTGCTGCTCACTAGAATCCCCCTTTTAAGGCATTCCCTAAAGAAATAGCAAAAATATGCCATCCTCTAATGACTGAACAAAAGACAACCTAACTTAGAATCTGATGCATGTCACTGCCCTGGTGACTGACTGTCAGCAAGTTCACAGTCAATAAGGTCAACAGTTACCCTTCAAGGACTCTGGCCCACCAAGGCCACAGCCAGTACCTGAGTGTGACTTGACCCTCGAAGCTCGATGTTTTACCATTCCCGTTTGTTGTTTTATAGTTTCTTTCTTTTTTTACTTATTTATTTTTTTAAAACAGGGTTTTGCTGTGTAGCCTTGGTTGTTCCAGAACTCAATCTGTAGACCAGGCTAGCCTCAGATTCAAGAGATCTGCCTGCCTCTGCCTCCCGAGTGCCAGGATTAAGGATATGAGACACCACAGACACTCACCACATACTGAGTCCCATTTGCCATTGTTAAAGTTTTATTCTGCTATGCACTTGTGTCTTTGTTTGTGTCCACAGAGGCCGGAAAAGTCAGATCTCCCTTTGCACTGGAGCTCCAGGCAGTGTGAGCTGCTCAGTGTGGAAGCTGGGGTCTGAGTTCCAGTTGTTCGTCACAGCAACCAAAGCCATCTCTACAGCCCCCATTTCCATCTGTTTAAACTACATATTTTATTATGGTAAACATTTCTATAAACTTGTTTTTAATTGAATATTACATGTTACATAGTAATTACGCCTTTAGAAGTGAAAAAATCAACAAAAACCAATGAATATTTGGTTCTCTTCCTTCTGGAAGTTGATTAAATAATTTATGAATTATTAATAATTTATTTATTTGTTTGTTTGTTTATTTAGTCATTTATAGGTTTTTCAAGACAGGGTTTCTTTGTGAAACCACTCTGGCTATCCTGGAACTAGCTATGAAGACCAGGTTGGCTCGAACTCACAGACCTCCTCCTGCCTCTGCCTCCCAAGTGAAAGATTAAAGACTTATGCCACCATGTCTGGCTCAGTTGATTCTATTCTTGATTAATGAACATTTTTTTCTGACTTCTGAGCTGTACCTGTGGGCTCTTCGGGGGAGGCTTTACCCAGGAACCTGGGTGATGTGGACCTCCCAGTACTGGTGACCAATAGCTTCCTTGCTCTGAAATAGTCATGGATAGAATTCAAATCCTTATTAATTTTAATTTAGTTCCTAATTTAATTTTAATTGTTTAAAACTATTAATAAAGAATGGAATTAACTTACTTGGTCACTTACACATGCATTTTACTTCAAGGTATTTATTTATGAATGTTGCCTCTAGTGTATGTGCATGTGTGCGTATGTGTTTTAATCTGTTGGATATCTTTAAGTCTTTGAGCCATTAATGTTCCTCACTGATTTGCATGCAAACCGGTCCTTTGTGTGGTGTTTTAATTTTACCAATGGTGGTATTTGATGAGAAAGTTTTAAGACTTTATCTAGACAGATACAGTGAGGATTTCTGCGAAGCGTTTTTGCCATTGTTAGTTTGGGGTGCTGTAACAAAATGGAGGAACAACTAGAGACCTTTCTTCACAGTTCAGGAGACTAAAAAGTCTGTAGTCAAGGCAGCAGTGGGTGCAACATCTTTCTGAGTAACAGCTTCCACTCACTGCCTCTGTCATCCTGAACTCCAAGGATGCAAGGTTGGAGGCACCCTCTGGACACGGTTCCCATCAGTAGGAGAGCTCCTAGTCTTTCAGGGAGCTTGACTCAGAACAAAGAAAAATCCGTGGATCCAGTGCCGAAAGGAATTTCAGGATTAGCCAATATAATGAAACAGGGTTGGAAAGTTTATTAACAATATTGTGAACAAAAGGCACATGAGAGGAGAGGCAGTGCAGGTGGGAGGGTGTGGCACCCCAGCTCCTTTCTCATGCCCCCTCAAGCTTGCTTGTCTTTCTCTCCTGCCTCAGAACCCCTCAGGAAGACTCCTCTGAAGGCTTCATTTCCCATATCATCTGCTTGCGGTCAGTCACCTATGAATCTTGTTGGGACACCATCTCTCAGACCACTGCAATTCCACCCCATTGCCATTTTCCAGCTTTCTGTATACTCTTATAAACTCTGATTTAGATTTGACCTACCCAAGTTGAACATAGCCTTTCTTTTTATAATCTGTTGCTTTTCAACTTCATCGACATGACCGTTAGACTCTGGAGGTTTGGAATGTGACAATTATTTCCTTCTTTCTCCATTTTTACAGGGTTGAGAATCAGACTCAGGGCCTGGCCCACACTAGACAAAAGTTCTTTCCACCTCTGGGTTGCACCTCAACCTAAGCACACAGGCAAGTCTGTTTAGCATGAAGCACTGTCATGCTCCTTGAGTGGTTATTAAAGTGGTGTATCCTAATCCATCACATGTAATACACAGCATTTTCCTTTTACCTTCCAAAAGGACTTAGTATTTATTTAGGTAGGTGTCTGGGTGTGGGTATGAGCACACAAATGCAGTGTTCAAGGAGGCCAGAAGAGTGTGTCAACTGGAATTACAGGTGGCTGTGAGTGTCCCATCATGGATGTTGGGAATTGAAGTCTGTTCTCTTGAAGAATAGCAAGTACTTTTAAGCACTGAACTATCTTTCCAGCCCCCTTCCTATAATCATTATCAACATCATCACTATCATCATCATCACCATCATCACCATCAGCAGCAGCAGCAGCATCACCATCATCACCATCATCATCAGCAGCAGCATCACCATCATCAACAGCAGCAGCAGCAGCATCACCATCATCACCATCATCTGCAGCAGCAGCATCACCATCATCACCATCAGCAGCAGCAGCAGCATCATCACCATCATCACCATCATCATCAACATCAGCAGCAGCATCACCATCATCATCAGCATCAGCAGCAGCATCACCATCATCACCATCATCATCAGCAGCAGCAGCAGCATCACCATCAGCAGCAGCAGCATCACCATCATCACCATCATCACCATCAGCAGCAGCAGCATCACCATCATCACCATCATCGTCAACATCATCAAGAACAACAACAGTGGTTTTTCACTTAACTTCAGCTACCTGATCCAAATTAAAAAGAAAAAGACATTTCAGCTGAAATTGTGCTCGTTGTAAATATTAACTAAGCAAAAGGGACTGGTTGTCTTTTCCATGCTAAAGTATGACTTGGAGGTTTTAAATAGACAATGGTCTAGCATTGAGTATGAACGAAAAAGGTGAGTGGGGACCCATGGGATATGCACATGTACTCACAGAATGCTCCATGCTGACAGGGAATACTAAAGAAGTTTTCATTTGTGTAGCCTATTAGAAAACCGGTATTTTTGTGATCTGATAGAAAAGATAAGCACTTTTCTATTTTTTGGATGTTGTATTTGTTTGTGTTCTTCCGGATGTGACCTCTGCTAACTTGGCTCTGGGCATCCAACTCCATCCTGAGTGTTTGTTCTCTACCTGGTTAGTTTATTGAATTGGCTTAAAGCTATGCGGATTTTTCCATCGGTCCACTCCCTATGATGTAACGGAGCTGTTACCTAATGATTTATGAAATGAGTGGTTATAAATAACTAATGAGCACCCCTTTCTCCTTTATGTTTTGTGTAATTGATGTTTATTATTCCTGGCTCCCAGCATTGTCTGGATGTGCAAGACAATGCCAAGACCTAGTGTCCACTCTCTCATTCTGACTTAAATGAGAATGTGTGTGGGTTCTGGCAGTCCAAGGATGCTCACTGCTGCTGGAGAACCCATCTTTAGATTAGGAAGGGAGTGTCCTGCTAGTCTTCAAACGCATCAGAACATATATGCTTCAAGGAATGGCTGTTGAATGTATGGAATTTTCTCTGAATATGGTCTCATTTATGCACATTTTAAAATTAGTATCTTATTGTAATGTGATAGAATCAAAGTAATAGATTTTTAAAAAATATTAAGCATCCTGGACTTCTGCAAAATACCCTGGATTCTTTTCTTGTGTTTAAATTCATTTGATTTAGGCTACCAACTGTTTCTTCACAAATAAATTGCATATGCAATTAATTACAATTATAATTATAGTTAATTATATGAAATAATATAATAGGAAACAACAAAATATAATAAAATTGAATAAATAAAATAATTGCATATGTAGCAGTTTTTGAGTCATGCGATGGCTAATCTTGGTTGTCACCGTGACACAACCTCAGTTGAGGAGTAACCTCCATCAGGTTGGTCTGCAGAGGATTGTCTGGATTGCAAACTGGTGTAGGAGGGCCCAGCCCACTGTGGAAAGTACCATCTATAGGCAGGTGGGCCTGCGCCATGCAGAAACACTAGCTACACAAGTTTCAGTCGAAGAGCCAGCAAGCAGCAATCCTCCATGGCCTCTACTTCAGCTCCTGCTTGGGTTCTTGTCCTGACTTCCCTCAGTGAAGGAGTGCAACATGCAAGAGTAAGATGAAATACGCCCCCCTCCCCAACTTGGTTTTGTTCATGGTGTTTTATCGCAACAAGGGAAATCAAGCTTGGACACATCATCTAGTGTGGGCTTTGATGTGGGTGCAGTATGTGTGCATGGAGGACCTTTTCATGACTTTCCATGCTCCGTGTAGAGTCACAGACATTAATAGCAAGTGCATCCTTATGGAATCAGCACAATAATTTGTCATAATATTCTTTGGGAGATGTGTGTATTGACAATTCTTTTTCCGTATTTCCCAGAGGTACTGGCTTGCTAAAGTTTCCTAATCCTTACATTCATTCATTTTGGTATTTTAATTTCCCAGAAAATCATAGAACTCATTACATTTTCCGATGATTTCTTGTAAGGCCATGCATCTCTAATTTTCTAATGTTTAAGTCTCTTCTGATACTATCTCTAATTTCTCACATTCAATCCTGCATATTTATTCATTTGTTTGTTTCTTAATTTGGATTTAATAATGGTTTGTCTATTTTATTGTGTCTTCCTAAATACCAGTTCTCATGTTTATTTATTAATGCTATTATGTGTGGTTGTAATTAATTAATCTTAAAATTTATTGCATTTCTTGCTTAGCTTCCTTTGTCCTTAGATTTATTTTGCTTTCCTTGAAATGGTTTATTATTTTTAAATTGCATCTTTTATTTCAATATGTTTTAATTTTTATGTATTTTCTATCCCTACTGAATTGATTTAGGCTTGACTCTATAGATTTAATACTTGTGACCTATATTCACCAATATTTGTCTTTAAATTATTGTTTCTTTGTCAT